AAAGTTCATCTTTCTACAAACAAAAGACACTTGGGTCTCAATTGGTCACATGCCACTTGATCTCTTGAGGAGAACCAGTACTTCTGGAGTTGGTTTTGAGATAAAACCCAATGTTTTGTTTCATTTGCCCATAAGAATGGACAGAGGTCAGCTCTGGAAGATGGGCTGCAGTGGCAGGAGTCTGAGATCAGTCCAGCAGTCCTAGAACACCAAGTCTCAAGGGTTCAGAAGTCTCCAAACATCTCTGGTTCTTGCTGATGAGTTCCATCACAGTGAGCCAGGCTGATCTACGCATGTGGTTGTGCTGTAACCTGTGAACTGATGCAAAGGGCTTTTCCTAAACTTTTCCAAGTGAAAAACACAGCAAAACTGTTTAATAGTCTGGTGCTGTAGCTACTTGAGAAGAAAATTTCAAAAGCTAAAATTTTGTGGAGACAGAGGTTTTTTTGTTGTTTTGATTTTCTAAAGATTTTGAGAAGTAATTGAAAACTGTCACTCTTTAGGTCTCTTTTCTATTATGAAAAAGAGTAATTCATGTACCTGCTAAAGAAAATAGATGAATCTGGGATCCAAACTTACTTTATTTCTTTTTTAAAGGACTTCCTGTGCTGTGGGGGACTTCAAGAAAATAACCAGTAATTACCTCTCTAGTTCTTGTTAGCCTCTCTTGCAGATTAACCACTGCTGAGGAGCTGGGCTGGCTTGAGCTGATGGGTGCACAGTTCATCCAGGGCAACACTATAGTTCTGAGAAGTAAGGTGATGAGTCAATTAGTTTAAAAACTGATGTTTTAATTAATCTGTGTGTAGTGTGCAGCGTGAGGGACACAGTGCTGACTGAAGTGAAACATTACTTAGGTCTAACTAAACTGATATCTTGCCAATACAGTATAGCACAGAAAACAGTATCTGCCAGACTAGGTGCAGTGTGTGGCAAGGTGAAAAGAATGGAAAGCTTCAAAAATTGTGTAGCTATTTAATTTTTTTGTCAGTGGTAGCTTACATTACAAAATAGAACTACTTTTAGGGGATGTTCTCAGATAGTCCAGGTTTGTAATGGGTAGAGGGTAAAAATAGGTGAGGGAGATCTGTCAAAAGAGAAGCTGCTTTCCCTTCCAGATTATTATGCATATTATGTATTTCATCATTTCTGTCATTTCAGGAGCCCTTTAGGACTGCAGAGTCCAAAGGCATGTGATGTTACAGCAACAGAGTGGATTAATGGGATTTGTTCTGCTTCTCATTGAGAAGGTCTGATTTCAGTAAGTTGGAAGGTGTACCTGGCTGGCTTTTGCTACCTACTTGAATCCCAGATTCCTTCCAACAATAAGGGTAATCATGATTAGTACCACTGAGAATGGAATAATAGAATCATGAAGGTTGGAAGGGACCTTAATGATCTTCAGGTTCCACCCCCCCTGCCATGAGCAGGAACCACCAGACCAGGCTGCACAAACCTCATCCAACGTGGCCTTAAAAACCTCCAGGGATGGGGCATCAACAACCTCCCTGGGCAACCCATCCCAGCTCCTCACTACCCTGAGAGTGAAGAATTTCTTCCTAATATCTCACCTAAATCTCCCCTCTCTCAGTTTAAAACCATTAACCCTTGTCCTATCTCTGTCTTCTCTGATGAAAAGCCCCTCCCCAGCTTTCTAAGGGGTCAGACCCCTCCTGGAATACTGTGTCCAGCTCTGGAGCCCTCAGCAAAGGAAAGATACAGATCTGTTGGAGAGGGTCCAGAAAAGGGCCACCAAGATGATCCAAGGGCTGGAGCAGCTCTGCTCTGGAGCCAGGCTGGGAGAGTTGGGGTGTTGAGCCTGGAGAAGAGAAGGCTCCAGGGAGACCTGAGAGCAGCTTCCAGTGCCTGCAGGGGCTCCAGGAAAGCTGGGAGGGGCTTGGGACAAGGGCAGGGAGGGATGGGAGCAGGGGGAAGGGTTTCCAGCTGGCAGAGGGAGCTGGAGCTGAGATGGGAGGGAGAAATTCTGTGCTGTGAGGGTGGGGAGAGCCTGGCCCAGGTTGCCCAGGGAAGCTGTGGCTGCCCCATCCCTGGGGGTGTTGAAGGGCAGGTTGGATGGGGCTTGGAGCAGCCTGGAATGGTGGGAGGTGTCCCTTCCCATGGTGGCACTGGATGGGCTTTGGGGTCCCTTCCAACCCCAAACCATTCCAAAATTCTGTGATTCTGTGTTAATGGCCTGACGACTTTTACTTGTCCACTGTGATATTTGGGCCTTCCCTTCTGCCATTTTACAATATTTTCTATTGACAAATTTGGTCTCAAGCTGTTCTCAAATTATAACAATGAGGAGATATGAAATGCTGAGTACAAAAGGGGGATTTTTGTGGTTCTGAAAGATGTTTGTCTTTGGTTTGATCAAGCACCTCTGTGATTGATGTTACATATTATTTAGCTTTCTTGAGTGGTTTGGTATCCTTATAAATCTATAAGGAGAGTCATTGAAAAAGTGCATGTCAACAGATGCAGAAAATAAATTAATGTAGAAAATACTTCCTCTTTGCAGAAGGTGGCTTTTGGGCACTGCAGTTGCATTTTCATGTGCCTGTATACAATTAACAAGCAGAAATCACATTGTACCATCACATGCAAATATGGTTGGTGATACTTTAAAAAGGAGATAAAGTAAAATTATCTAGCTGACCTGCTGTGTCACTGCTGCCTTGTCTGAACTATCTTCTAGGTGCTTTTTTTTTCAAATAGTAGAACCTATGGAACCTAAATAAATGTGTTTAGTCTTGTGAGGTAGGAAAACACTGAGATGTGTGATGTATCCATCTCTGCTGAGTACTGAATTAATCATTTTTCAAGGTTAATGGGAAAGATTCAGTGGTATATTGTTTTCTAGAGAGGGTAAACTTCCACTCTTAACTGTAATTCACAATGTGTTTAAAACAATTATTCTTTATCATTAAAGTTAATAATATGCACATTAACCTCTGATGTAGTCTGAATCAATACCGCAGTTTGGGAGATGTGACCCCTGCACAGCTTTGTCTAAATATTGATTTCATTGTCATTTGTATAAGGTATGAAACAAATTACATGCCTCCCTAATATCATTAATGTAGCCCCCATTCAGCCACTCAATTTATGGCTTCTTATAATGCATGACAAAGCATTACAGAATTATTGAAGACATTGTGAAATACAATTGCTTATTGTACTAGATTTGATTGTGGAGGGCCAGTGCTAGCACTCAATAATTTTCAAACACTTGGAAAGAAAAAGAAAGCCCAAAGACAAGAGCCAAGAGCAGGGGACTCTGTAGTGGGGAACCTGGTTGTTCATTTCCATCAGACAAAGTTCCCTTGGGCTCTGGGGCCTGCAGTTCTATTCTGCAGCTTTCTGCTTAGGTATTTGTAGCCTTACATGAAAATGAGGCATATACTAGTACTGTGCCAAAGGCAAAGGTTGTTCTCTTCAGTCACTGGAGGAAATCAAAACAGGTAGGAGGAACAGCATCTCTGAGACTTGGCCAGCACTTAGAGCAGTTGTCATTACTGTCATAATTTGAAATATGAGGTAAGTCATGCACTCCACACTGATTTCTTCCCTTTATTGCAACTTTATTGTTATCCTGCTCCTCATGCTTTCATTGCTTCTCCTTCCATCATACCTGTTCCTCCCATCTTCCCTCTCAACACGTTCTTACCTTTCCAGGAAAAGTCAGGGTTGCCCTGAAACCCTGGAAATATCAGTTGTCCCTTCTTTTGCTTCCTCTCTCTTCGGAAAGCTCCTTTTTTACACAAGCAAACTGTTGTTATGCAGGAGATTCAGGTGTCTGCTTTCCTTCTTCTCCTTTCCAAATACAAACCTTGGCCTCATGGATACCTAAGAAACAGCTCAGGGTGAGTTTCATGCCTTCCCCCTAAGCTTCCAGTGGCAGGTGATTTTTCTTGCTCTTGGCTTGGTACCTAAGCACTGCTCACCTGCAGTCACTGGCTCTAAGCTGCCTATTTCAGTGGCACACACATATAGGCACACACACACATTTCCTTTCCCCAATTCTTTTTCTCGAGCTTACAAAAAAAAATAATTATAAAAATAATAAAAATACATGAAAAATCAACTTTTACATCCAGTCTAGAAAGCCTCTTCCTTTATCTCCATATTACATTTTCAAAGCAGCATCTTCATCCTTCCTCCTGTGGTGGCTTCTCATACTGAGGGACCTTCTTGTAAATATATGCAAAGCTACTTCATTGTGCTTTTAATGTATACAAAAAAATCTCCACCAGGTTTGAGCTTCTGCTGTGCCACGGCTGCAGAGCATCATTCCAGCTGGTACTGTCTCATTGTTTAATTGTCCTTGCCCATTTTCTCTGGTGTTTAGGCTTTTATCTGGGACTGTCTTTTAAGGCTTTTTGATTTTGGGGAGAGGATTTGTACAGCGTGAAGCATGTAGGGCATAGTAATCTTCGGATAAGTATCATAGATGCTGTGTTGCTGCAAATAATATGGAATAATACATTTCCTACGTTTCAAAACGCTCTAATTATGTTATCATTGCAGTCAGTGTAGGATTGGGACTATTAAAGTAAAGTTCTCTTTGTTGTCTCAGAAGGGTGCTTGGCACCTTTTAGGAACATGCTGGTTTTTCATCAGAAAAGTCTGTATGGTGATTCTTCCCCCCTCCCCCCCTTTTTTTTTTAAATAATAATAAAAAAAACACCACAAAAAAGGTGCTCTTTTAGTGGAGAATGTTAATAGATAACAGAAATGAACAGCCTGTTATGATCATCTTGAATGTAATGCAGACCACAGGACTTCCCCACATTAATTCCTAGAAGAATTACAAGGCAGTTTAGATTAAAGAAAACAAATAAATAAATAATCACAAACCAAAAAACACAACGAAAATCAAACAACAACCTAATGAAAAAACAAACCTAAACAACAACAAAAGAACCAAACCTGAAACTTTTTTTTTTTTTAAACCTTGCTCACAGTTCATAAATTTTGTTCCAAATTTTATCTTGTAGGTAAAAGTGACCCGTTTTGTGTAGTTGAATTGAACAATGACAGACTGCTGACACACACCATCTACAAGAACCTCAACCCAGAATGGAACAAAATCTTCACATTGTAGGTGTTTGGATTTTGTGAGTGTTTGGGGTTTTGTTTTGGGGGGGGGGGGAGGGAAATTGTGAAGAGGTACCATTTTAAAGTTTAAAAAAAATGAAGGTCTGTTTCTTGGAAAGCAGGTGGGAGGAATGCTGAGCACTCCTGAGAGTTTCAAGGGCCAATTCCATCATGCCAGGTGGAAAAAGTTCTGGGTAGAATAAAGGATGTTGTGGTTATGGCCTTCATTAAAATGTGGTCATTAATTTGAGTAAAGATTAGATACCTGTATAAAGGAAGGGGTTTTTAATGCATTCATACTTCTGTAGATTATGATCATATGCTTTTCCCTTGCCTTTCCATTTCCCAACTGCACTTCCCACAATAAAATCCAAACCAGGACAACGCTGCTGTGTGGTGAAGTGCAGTCTTAAAACATTTAATGTATTGGGAAGTTGGGTAGTTGCAGCTGGGTTTTTTTAATTCCTTCTGTTCTTTTGAAGGCAGTAAAAGGCTCTGACAAAACAGAATGAACTATTCCACAAACGAAATGTCCCTGTTATTTGTCTTGGTCTGTTACCTTCTGCTTCTCCCTGCTCCTCTCTGTCTGGCTGCAGTGTGACACCAACGAGTAGAAAA